ATTTATTGGGAAGGAAAAAAAAAAAAATATATAAATATTCCTTCATATTATAAATCTCAATTATAGGTACATCGGCACTTTTCAATTCATTGGATTGGGTAGAGTCATCATCTTGGGATGGACGATATGCTCTTGTAGTCGCTGGTGATATTGCTGTTTACGCATCTGGTCCTGCACGTCCTACTGGTGGTGCAGGATGTGTTGCTATGCTTATCGGTAAAGATGCTCCAATTGTTTTTGACAGAGGTAAACTCAATGCTATGGTTTTTTGGGGTGGGCGATTTTGTAATGATTACGTTTATAATTTTGTTTTGTACAAATGTAAAATGTAGGGTTACGTTCAACTCATATGGAACATGTTTGGGATTTTTGTAATTAATTATTATTATTTATTATATAATTTATTATTTATGTAATCATTTATTCATTATTTATTAATATTTATTTATTTTTTTTTTTAGATAAACCAGATTTGACATCGGAATTTCCAGTAGTAGATGGTCATTTAAGTAATTCATGTTATCTTAAGGCTCTTGATATTTGTTATAACAGATATATTGACAAATTGGTTCAAAAGGTGATTATTGATTCATGATTTAAGATTTACGATTTATTAAAAAATTTTATATAATAGTATTAATTCGACTAATCCACACATTTGCATTTACATTTAATAATTATATTATTTTATAGGAGAAAGTTGAAGATCCTACAATAAAATTTTTTGATTACGCTCTTTTCCATTCACCATATTGTAAATTGGTACAAAAAAGTTATGCAAGATTATTTTATAATGATTTTAAAAGAAACCCAACGCTCGAAGGTTTTGAATCTGTTCTTCAATTCCAAAATATCGATTATGAAGAATCATTAAGATCAAAAGAACTTGAAAAGGCTCTTGTTGGAATTAGTAATTCATTTTATCAAAGTAGGGTACTACCGACTCTTTTGCTTGCTACTCAAATTGGAAACATGTATTGTGCATCTTTGTATGGAACTCTTGTATCTTTATTATCAAGTGAAGATGTAAAAGATTTGGTAAACGATTAATATCTATATTGATGTTTTTCAATATTTGAAGTTATTAAATTAAATTTTTTTTTATCGCGAAAGAAACAACATTTATTAATACTAGTATTTTTTATCAAGGTGGTTTTCTTTTTTTTCACATGGTCATCAATTGAAGTAAATAACTTATTAATTCTTTGCCCTTCAACACAAAATAATAACAAAACGCAAGATTATAAATATTCAACAATAATGGGAAAAAACTATTATCAAATTTTAGAAGTTGATAAGAACGCTGACGAAGAAGCTATTAAAAAAGCCTATAAAAAATTAGGTAAATATTGAAAATATTTGCAAATAAATGTCTTTCGCTCTTATCATTTATTTATATTAATTTCATAAAATAGCTCTTAAATGGCATCCAGACAGACATCAAAGTAATAAAGAACAAGCAGAAAAAAAGTTCAAGGAAATCAGCGAAGCTTATGAAGTATTAAGTGATAAACAAAAAAGAGAGATTTATGATATATATGGCGAAGAAGGATTGAAAGGCGCACCACCGCCGTCATCATCATCGTCATCATCAGACGGTAGTGGATTCACTGGAGGATTTCCAGGTGGATTTCCAGGTAGTTTTCCAGGTAGTTTCCCAGGTGGATTTCCAGGTGGATTTCCAGGCGGTAGAACATCATATACAACATTCACTTCGGGTAAATAAATTTAATTGTTTGATGACTATTTTTTATATTTAATCAATGATTCATTTATCTATCAATTTAATATAGGATCTGACGGATTTAATGGATTTAAACCATCCGATCCAAATCATATTTTTAGTCAATTCTTTCAGTCTTCATTCGGTAATGATTTTGCAGGATTTGGACCTGAATTTGATGTAGGTGGCTCAAGACCTGATGGTAATAAAAGATCACATGGCAATGGTACAGGAACATTAGAAGTTAAACATACATTATCATTAACACTCGAAGAAATATATAAAGGTACTGCTAAAAAACTCAAAGTCTCTCGAAAAACAATTGTCGGCGCAACTGGTAAACAAACACTTACTGACAAAATTTTGGAAATGAATGTAAGACCTGGTTTGAAAGCCGGTACAAAATTCAGGTTTCCCAAATCAGGTGATGAATTACCAACTGGTGAAACACAAGATATTGTTGTAATTTTAGAAGAAAAACCTCATCCGCTATTCACAAGAAATGGTGACAATTTACTAATAACAGTCACTTTAACTTTACTTGAGGCTCTTACCGGTTTTAAGAAAACCATAAATACCTTAGATAATAGAAATTTGGCGATATCTAATTATAACGCTGTTATAAGACCTGGTTATGAACAAATTTTTGCAAATGAAGGTATGCCAACAAAAGAACAGACTAAAAAAGGTGATTTAGTAATAAAATATGATGTTAAATTTCCTACTAAATTAACTGATCATCAAAAACAAGAACTTGCAAGGATTTTACATAATTAGATAGATAGATTTTTTTTTTTTTAATGTCACATAATCGTACTATTATTATTTTTCTCCCTTACCTCTCTCCTTGAATGGATTTGCTTTTAAATATATATAGAAAAAGGAATAATAAATGTATAACATTGATATGTATCTTTTTATATTTGATAGAGAAAATTTATTTATTTATTTATTTATTTATTTATTTATAATA